CTGACCAGAAGCTGGTAGCAGTGACGGATGACAGTGCTTGTCCCTGGGCTGAACAGTGGAAGAGTTAGGGGGGAAACTGCTCTTTGAGACCCTTTCAATTTCATGTTATGGATTTATAGAGATAGATGAATTAAACATTATATAAAAAAGGAATAAAACCATTGGTAGGATCTGTATTCCAGGAAGAAAAAAGCATATTACATAATAGGTCAATCAATGCACAGAAATAAAAAAAAGAATTTAACTAGAGCCTATGCTAATCATACATCCCTTCCCTGTTCCAGAGTCCTGTTGTCTCTGGGGTCTTGGTCCATCTTATCTAGGCCATGGAGTGGTGGGGTGGGGATGCTGCTAATTCCTAGGCAGGAAACAGGGGCCAGTTACCCTTGTGGTGTCATTTCTGGGTCCTGGAAAGGAGACCACTGCTGACCCCTGACTCACCAACCACTAATTACTGATGGAAATCCCACCGGCCTCCCTGGACAAAGGCAGCCTAGACCTGGACTCATTCACATGCAAAGGAAGTGGCCAGAAGAGCCTGCTGTTGGCAGGGGTGAGGGATGGGAAAGCACGCTAAGTGGCCTGTCTGTGGGGGAGGGAGAGGGTGCAGCAGCACAAGCCGGCCTGAGGTTAGGAGCCTGCGGTGTCTCCAGGAAAGCAGAGGCGACTGTGGGGGGCGCCCGGGCTGAAGAGCCAAGTGTAGAGACTGCTTCATCTTGTCCATCTCCAGAAACTCAGACCACCCATCCACTAAAGGCAGGTGGATGAGTGAGGGGGCCTCGGAGGCATTCCAGATCACACTGAACCTGAGCCCCACGGCCTGACCCACCCAGCATCGCTGTTAACAGACGCTCGCTGCTGTCTGGCCCGGACCCCGCTGGCGCTGCGGGTCCTTCCACCCCAGTTAGGAAGGGTCATGGTTCCCGTGGAAACCCCTGCCAGGGTGAATAAACTCGGCGTGGGGCTGACTGGCTTTGGATTACTCCGTTGCTTACAAGCCGAGTTCCGGTCTGTGCCTCAGTTTCTCCCTCTGTAAAACAATACGAATACCGGCCCAGAAGCATTGTTGGACAGATTAAACGAGAAAATCCACTGGAAGTGTTTAACAAATGACGCACAGTAAGGGCTTCACACCTGCTAGCCGATGTCCCCTGCAGCCTTTATTCCTTACCCAGTCCCCCTTGGCCTGCTATGTGGAGATAAGGGGGCTTGCCCCCGCCGCGGTCCCGGTGTGCTTTAACGGGCTCCCGGGGAAGCGGTGTGGAAAATGGATTAGGGAGGGAGGAGGCCAGAGCCTCGGAAGCCAGGGAGAGGTCTGCAGGTATCCAGATGGGAGCTGGAGGGGCGGGACAGGGCCCTTGGCAGGGGGATCCAGGACATATTTTGGAGAAGTTCTCTCTAGGACTTGGTAACAGGTTGAGAGCGGCCACTTGGCCGGGGGCGCCGGCTTCGGAGGCGGGAGGGAGGTGGAGGAAGGGAAGGCAGCTGCGGGGCCGACCTGCGGGGTGGGAGGGGGGGGTGGCTGGGGGCGTGAGGCCGGGGGCTCGGGGCCGCAGGGGTTCGGCCTGGAGGAGCGGCGTGGGCGCGCCGGGGCCGGGATTCCCACTGGACGGGTCGGCTCCGCAGCCGCTGCGCTCGGAACCCCCAGGCGCCCCGCAGTACCCGGCGTCCTTCCTGCCTCCTCCTCGCCCCTGTCCTCCGTCCGGGCCCCAGTCCCGCCGACCCTGCCGGCGCCTCCGCCCTCCCGCCCTCGGCCTTCCACGACCTCGGCGCGCCGCGCGGGACCCAGTGGAGGCTGCTTTCCCGCAGGCCGCCGTCCAGGGCGGGGAAGGGAGCGGACCCTCCCGGCTGCAGGTGCCTGGGCCCCCGGCGGCCTCGCCCCACTGGCCTCGCCTTCGCGCGGGGGCACAGGAGGCACTCGGCCCATCGTCCCCGCTAACCGAATTCCCCTCCACCCGGCCCGTCGCCAGCCCGGGTGCCCTTCCCGCCCGTCGCTATCCGAGAATGTGCCCCGTGGCCCGCAGGCCGCGGGGTCTGGAGATGGAGGGGACCCCGCAGAGGGTCGCGCCGCCCTCCCCTCCCCTCCACTCCCCGCGGGAACAGCCCCCGGGACCGCCCCTCGCTCCTGCCACGGGGGGACTGAGCTTCCCCGAGGTGTGCGGCTCCGGAGAACTCGTGCCCTCCAGCTGGACCTCGCTGCCCGTTTCCAGCCGGCCAAGCCATCCGCTAGTTCGTTCGCTTTCTCTTTCCCGCACAGGGACAAGCAGCCTGAGTCGGAGGAGCGGACGGCTCGGGGCGGCTCCCGGCGCGCGTTGTGGGCCCCGCCGCGGGGGCTTCGGGAACGCGCGGACCCAGGCGAGGCCGCCTCTGCCCGGCCGCAGCCCCACACTTGCCCGCGGGGTTCCCCGGGACGCCTGAGTAACGGGGGCGGGGGGGAAAGCCGAACGGCTCCTGTGCCCGCAGGCGGTGCCCCCGGGGCTGGGTTCGCGCGGCTGCGCTGCCAGCCCCCGACACGCAGGACTTTCGGTCCCACAGCCCGACGGGGCCGGCGCGCCGCCCCTCCGCCCTCTCCCGCTCCCCGCTCCCGGCCCGCGCGTCCTGGACGGCGGGGGAACTGTCGGACGCTTCCCGCCTGGCCAAGCCACACCAGGGACCTGCGCACCCAATGGCCCACGCGCCTGCTGCTCCGGGGTTTTCACGGCCACGGGAGGCTGGAGGCGGGGCGTTCTGCCTTTCCCTTCGTTTAGGCCCGGCCACTCCCCAGCCCCACGGTTTGGAAGTGGCCTTCTCTGAGGACTCCAGCGCCAAGCGTGTTTCTCCTTTCGAGCTGCGGAAGCCATTGGGGGGGCATTCCATCATCCGCGGCTGCCTTCCTCCGTGGGTCTTGTCCCTCGGCGCCCACCTAGGGGACCTTCTAAGCTTCCTGAGACCTGCTTGTCCACCCCAACACGTCCCAGCATTTGGCGGTGCCCTAAGGGGTCTTTGAGAGCATTTTAGGAGGTGAGCGGCGCCCCTACCTGGGCTTCGCGGCGCCAGTTGGGTTTGCCCTTTGCTGGCATGTCAGTGAATTAACTGCTGTCCTGGGGATGACCTGCCTGATGATTTGGCCTCTGCAGCATCCTGGCTGTGTATTTCAGAATTCCTCCCATCTTATCCACCTGCTGAAGGCCTGTGCCCCTGATACGGTTTGGCTGTGTCCCCACCCAAATCTCACCTTGAATTTTAATAATCCCCACGTGCCACGGGCGGGACAAGGTGGAGGTAATTGAATCATGCAGGTGGTTTCCCCGAACGCTGGTCTCGTGACAGTGAGTTTTCACGAGAATTTTTTTTTTTTTTTTTTTGACAGAGTATCTGTCACTCAGGCTGGAGTGCGGTGGCGCGATCTCGGCTCACTACAACCTCTGCCTCAGCCTCCCGAGTAGCTGGAACTACAGGCGCGCGCCATCACATCCGGCTAATTTTTTTTTCTTGTATTTTTAGTAAAGACGGGGTTTCACCATGTTGGTTAGGCTGGTCTCGAACTCCTGACCTTGTGATCTGCCTGCCCCGGCCTCCCAAAATGCTGGGATTACAGGCGTGAGCCGATCTGATGGTTTTATAAGGGGCTTCCCCCACCCCCTTCCTCTCTCTCCTGCCACCCTGTGAGGAAGGTGCCCTTCTTCCCCCTTCAGGCGAACTGCCTCCGTGATTGTAAGCTTCCTGAGGCCTCCCCAGCTATGCGGAACTGTGAGCCAGTTAAACTGCTTTATAAATTAACCCCGGTATTTCTCGGGTATTTCTTCATAGCAGCGTGAGAACGGACTGAAACACCCACCGTGTGGAGTAGGGGAAGCTGAGGGAGCTAGGAGGTCCCAGCAGGGTGAAGGTGTGATGGCGTCTTGGGGCAGTGGGAGTGCTGCCTGAGGGAATGGTGGGCAGGTCATTGAGGCTCCATGGTGAGCACGAAGCTGAGAGAGGGAGGTGTCAATTCCAGAGTCAGGCGTGACATGGAAGGAACCTGGGGCTTTGCCAGGCATAGGTGAAGGAAGGCCACTTAGGTAATGGCAGTGGGAAGAGAGGGCAGTGAGTGGTGGACGGAGAGGAAGAGAAAGCTGAACATTGGAGCACAATGAGGATGCTGGGAGGCAAGCAGAGGGGGTCGGGGGTTCTCATATGGTGCATTCTGGCATTTATATTTTGAAAAATAATTGTTTTGTTCCTATTAATGCTTTTATAATAGTTTTAGCAGAGAAGAAAAAATATGAATTAGCTATTACGAGGCTTCTTTTGAAGTTTCTTTCAGTTCAGAAACATGTCCCACTTTACAAAAAATTAAGAAAATCCAAAAGTACGGAGGTCAATAATTGATATTTTAGTCTGACAAGACAACTCACTGGAGTTTCCTTAGAGACGTATTAGAAATTCAGAGCTGCATGCATTTTCCCCCCTGCCAGATAAACTGAAACAATATAAAGTGAGTTTTAGTTATTTCTTTCAATGAGACTGTGAGGCCTATTTAGCTAACAAAAAAGGTATCTGTAGAAAGAAGCATTCTTGATTCTTATCTACAAAACAGAGCAGTAAAAAACCAAGAATATCAGATGAGTATTATCTCTGTCCATGACAGGTATCATATTGGTATGATTAAGACTGGTCTTAATGGAAACTTAGGCAATAAATATAACCATCATAGTTTAACCTGCGGCAAAGCAAACAAAATACATTAAGTATAATAGAAAAACAATGCAGGCAAAGGCAGGCAGATTGCTTGAGCCCGGAAGTTCGAGACCAGCCTAGGCAACGTGGCGAAACCCTGTCTCTACAAAAAAATGCAAAAATTAGCCGGGCAGGGTGGTGCACGTCTGTGATCCCAGCTACTTGGGAGGCTGAGGTGGGAGGAACCCTTGAGCCCGGGAGGTCCAGGCTGCAGTGAACTATGATTGCGCCACTGCACTCCAGACTAGGTGACAGAGTGAAACCCTGTCTTACAAAAAAAGAAAAACTATGCTGTGTGTGCATTTTTTCCCAATCTTTTAATAAGGAAAATGTTTTTTCAAAATAATGGCTTATATGGAGTGTCAATGTAAAAACCATATTAATTTCAAATTTATAAGTAAAATATAGTCAGCGATCTCACATATGTCAAAATTTGGCATATAACACATTTTGAAGAGGTGTTGCTTTTGGTCATACGTTTTTTCCATTTTTAAAATTGTGGTAAAATACATATAAAATTTAGCATTTTAATGACTTTTAAGTGTATACTTCAGTGTCATTAAATTCACATTGCTGTGCAACCATCAAGACCATCCATCTTCAGGCCACTTTCCATCCAGTAAAACACAAACTCTATACCCATTAATAACTCCCTTCTCCCCTCCCTCCAGTGTCTGGCAACCACCGTTCTACTTTGTCTCTAAGAATCTGACTAATCTAGGTACTTCATCTAAGTGGAATCATACCGTATTTGTCCTTCTGTGTCTGGTTTATTTCTCTTTGCACACCATCCTCAAGATTCATCTATGTTGTAGCATGTGTCTGAATTTCCTTTCAAGGCTGAATAATATTCCCGTGTGTGTATAACATTCTGCTTATTCATTGATAGGCACTGGAATGCTTTCTTCACGTTTTAGCTATTGTGAATAATGCCACTGTGAACACAGATGTTCAGGTGTGTGGACATTTTGATACGAATGTAACACCACGAAGCACACGGTGTGCTCCATCATGAGCTCAGCTGTATGTGGACAAGGAGGGCGCTGGAAGTCGTGGTGGGGCAACTGAAGCACCTCTCTGGAAATACTGCGTCCCGGGAGACAGAAGGTCAGGCAGGTGAGTCCTGCCCAGGGACAAACCTCAGACAATCACTGGCACATCAGAATTCCTGTGAAAGCGCAAAAACAAAAAGGGTGCCTGTGCTGAGCCCTAGACCCCTTGATTTAGAGTCTCTTGACGAGGACCCTGGACATCTGCATGCTTAAAAGCCTCTCCGGAGGTGCTGACTTGCTACCTTGGGGCTGGGAACCGCACAGCCTGGGACTTGGGAAGGAAGGGCCAATCTGTCTTTCCTCCTAGGGGCAGAGAGTAACTACCAGAGGCACCGTTTTCCTAGCGAAACCCTGCAAGACCCTACAACGCAAAACAGCTCTCCTGGGGTGGCCCTTTAGCCAAGCAAAAGCGAGATGTTCTTCCCGCCTGCAACACACACCAAGTGGAGCCAGCCGTACACGCCACAGTGTACAGGGGCATCACCCACAGCAAGGTGGCTTATGAACCATCCCAGTAAAGCTTCCCGGAAGCAGTGGGCAGAAGGAAGATGGTTTGCAGTCTCTGGTGGAGGTGAAACCAGAAACAAGTCTGCACTGAGCCCAGTGATGGGCACTCTTGCTCTCTGAAGGTGCGGGCCTGTCACTGGGGCTGGCAGGTTCAGCAACATCCTTGGTGAGGCCTGGATCCTAGACCCACTGTTAGCTGGATTTGTGACATAAAAATCTTCCACGTGCCAAAAACACAAAAAATAAAAAACCGTTAAGGTGGGCAGTGATCCCCATTCCTTTGGATTTTATAGACCAGTAAGTGTCAAATAAAACTTCTGGGACCGACATGACTGCCAACTTTTAGTCTTGGCTGGGACAATGAAAAAGACTGAAAGCTATGACCTACCATCATTTCACAAAAGAGGGTTATTTTGATATCATAAAGGAAGGATAACTTCAGAATTTAAAAAGTGTACACACTGAACTTTAATTAGAAAATAACCGTGTATTTCCTGTGGCGTTCTCATTTTCTGTGGACGAATGAAAAGTTCATCATCATCTCTGCAAACTTAGGCTTCTTTGCCTTGAATACTTAGGGGCAGCTGTACCATTTGCAGATGTTGTTTATTTCCTTGAAGAGGTGTTTTCAGGGCTTTAAGGGAACATTGCTCTAAACAGCACACTTGGCCGATCAGTCCCTTGAGAAGACTTTGGTTTTTGATTTTTTGTTCACTTCTGAGCAATGACTCCACATCCTGGGTACACGGAAGCCCTCTCTCTCAACTCAGTAGCAGTGCTCTCTAGCACAGCCAGTTCCCGGCTCAGGTCGTTTTCTGGATGGATGTGTCCTCCTCTCGCAGCCCTGTGAACTGACTGAAGGACAGCTGCAGCGGTGCATCTGAACCTGCAGTGGAGGCAGTTCAGGTCCTGCCTACAGCGTGCACACGAGATACCAGGGGCTTTCCACCATGATTTTTCACCACATGATTTCCTTTCGTTCACCTGTAGCTCTGCCTTACCTGTACAGCTCAAGCCCTAGCACAGAACACAGGGGCTGAGTAAAGGCTTCTAAATACATATGAATTCAACAACGAGCGCATTCATTTTGTTGTAAACCATATAAATTACTCTCAAAATGTAATCGTTTCTAACAAAATAAAAAGTTGACTCATTTCTTCATACTTAACTTCAAAAATACTATACAAACCTTTATTTACATTGATTAAATCACAATAGGTACATAAAAAGTTGAGGCACTGGTGTCTGTGGCTAATGGTAGTAATCACAGCTCACATAGCGAAGTGAGTAACATTAACCTTTTAATTACCATTTTAATATCATATATACCATATATTCAGTACTAGTTATGACTTTTTTCTAAAATAATAATAGAACATGATACCCAGGGAAAAAGAGAATACTTAATAACTTTCCCAAGTGCTAGTAAAAAAGAAACACATTGGTGTACACCTGATTTGAGGGGCGGACATGATTCAGCCTATGAGCCATCAGGAGAGCAAAGCAAAGCTTTTTTAAACTGGAAGGACACTCACGCTGTTTTGGTTCAGACCTTTCATCTTTCATACTGGGAAACAATGCTCACCAGGGCAGTGTCACATCATTATGTAATACAGTAAGAAAGAAGTCCCAGGTCTCCTACTAACAAACCTAGAATCTTTTCTAATTCATAACAGAGGTTTATACTACAAATACAATCATATTCTTGAAAGATCAAATCAAATATCAAGAAAAACACATCCATGATAATACTTCAGACTTTAAAAAATCCTAAAGCAATAATTTAATAAAAAGGTATGTCAACAACTGTGTTCAAGATAATAGAATCAGTGTGGAATCCAGTGCCGTAAACAGTAATGGCAGCAGTTCACTGGTGCAGTAATTCATTTACATACTTATGTAGTACTCTGTGTATTGGTTGTGTTTTCATCTGTACTACTTGAGTTAAATTTCTTCCATAAAAATTTCTCATTTGATTTCCAAAGAGGAGTTGCTGGCTCTTCTCTCCTTTTGGAGGGTGCTGCTAGAGGTGCCTTTTCACACAGAGTCTCTATTACTGCCAAGTCTGTGAGTTTGTTAAGACTCTCATCGTTCTGCTCATTCAAAATGTCCCAGAAATCTTTTGGTCTCTGTTTTGCTTTTTCCACGGGCCCTGAAAGAACTTGCTTTGGCAGTTGTGTGGGACTGTTCCCATGACTTCTAAAAAGGTCGTCAAGAATAGAGGTATCACCAAGTAAGCTTATCACAGAAGAATTTTCCAGCACTGGATTTTCTATCTTTTTGTTTTCCAGTTTCAGAAGGGGTTCTTTTCTTGAAATGCCCATTCTTGTGAGGTCCTGTTTATCTTTCATGGTATTTTCTAACCTTCTCTCATGTGTTTCAGACTCACTGTTCTGAGAACGGGATGTCACAGTATCTTTGGATGCTTGGCTATTTTTCCCACTGTCAATCTTTTGAGTAGAACTAACAGGTGATTTCTTAGTTTCTGCATCATTAGAATACACCTCTTCTCTACAGGAACTAAGATTTTGAAACTTAATTGATTTTCTTTTATATGTTTTTAGGCTGCAAACTTGAGAAATTTTGTTGGTAGGATCTTTAAATGACAAGGTTTCAGAATCTGACAGCCTTGCTTTTATAAGAGAGTCTCTTTTTTCAGATTTCTTCCTGGTGCACTCTCCTTTCTCAAAGGAAGAAGTGTTGAATTCTGATGCAGAATCCACAAAAAGTTCTTTTACCTCTGGATATTGAGAAGCATAAAAGTCTCTTAGCATTTTCTGTCGTTCTTCTGATGTGGCACTGGTTATATGTTCAGCAAATTCGTTTACAGAAGACGAGTTAAAATAAGAGGCCATTTCTTCAAATTGTTTTCTAAAGATTAAATGAACAAAACGAGTGGTTATTTTCATTACATTTTATTTTGAAATAACTCATCACCAGTGACAGGAAATGTAGAGGCCAAGGAAGGTAATCTTGTTCCTTTAGCATGTCTGCTGAATTCCATAATGAAAATGCATTTTATCCTAGTAGAATGAGGCCTCTTCTCTGATGCTACTGAGAAAAGTATTTTAGCTCACAAAATCACCACTTTGTAAGTTATTTTGATTTATGCTATTATATTAGGTATTTCCGGGGAATTATGGAGGCCCAGCATGCTACTCCTCCAGTGAGCCAGTGATTTATGACTGACATGAGGATCATGATTTACAGAATCTGTACTTGAAAATCCATATTGTATTCAAGTCCCATGAAATAAAGTTGTCAAAGAAGAATCTTAACGAAAAGAGCAAATTCTGAAAAATTAAGAAAGACATTTGTTTTTTTCCCTTCCCTCTCCTCTTCCCCTTCTTCTACAAATACAATATAGAAATCGCATAAGACTTTTTGATGAGCCCAAAGGAAAGTTCTAAACTGATAAACCCAGATTATTTTTTCCCCAGCTGGTATGGACACCTAAGCTAAGAAGTGAGATGCTATTAGAAGAAGTGTGTTGTATTCTTAGTATAAGATACTAATAAAAGCGGTTGTATACATGTATGAGGAAATGGACCTTCAAGAACCTTGGTAAGATAGAGGCAGAAAGACTTAGGGACCTGGGCATTGAACCCTGCTCCTTCCCCTAAACGAGGGTGCTATGGACTGAACTGTGCCCCTCCTCCAAGTCCTGCTGAAGCCCCCTAACCCAGGACGTAACAGTATTTGGAGTTGGTGCCTTTAGAAGGTAATTAAGGTTAAATGAGGTCATAAGGGTGGGACCCTGATCCAACAGGATTAGTGTCCTTAGAAGAGATGCCAGAGAACCCACACAGTTTCTTTCTCTTCTGCCTCTTCCTCTCTGCCATGTGAGGACACAGGGAGATGGTGGCCACCTGCCAGCCAGGAAGAGGGCCCTCACCAGAAACTGAAGCAGCTAACTTCTTATTGTTGGCCATCCAGCCTCCAGAACTGTGGAAATGAATTTCTGCTGTTTGAGCCACCCAGTCTATAGTATTTTGTTATTACAATCCAAGCAGACTAAGACAGTGGGTATTGCTTTGCTGATGAAGAGTTTGGGCCAAGAGATAGAACAGCTCAATGTTAATAAATACTCCTTTGAACAAAAGTCATAGAGAGTGAGTGGAGCAGCCCATGATTCAAAGTCCTAAAGTTTTAGAAATTATATTTTATACCATAGTTCCTTAAAACATTCCTTTATTCACTCAACAAATATGTATAGAGTCTGTTATGTGCTAAGCACTATAGCAGGAACTATATAACAGCAAATAAGACTCTGGTTTCTATCTTCAAGGAGTTTACAGTTTACTTGGGGTAGACGAATGCATGAAAATCAAACTAGACTAGAGTGATAAACCCATAATGTGAATTTACCATGAGGTAAATATGGGCCGCTACTGGCATTCATAGAAAGGGAACCTAGGTCAGTGACTGGTGGTAGGCAAGGTGGGTAGAAAAGGCATCTCTTCCTGGTAAGTCGGTCAGGTAATGATGAGTGAGAAGTCTCCCGGGGGAGAGGGCGCATGTACAGTCTCAGGTCCAAGATGACCTGGTTCAAAGAGTGGCAGGAGAAACTGCAAGGAAGAGGCTAAAAATCATAGGGGGTCTGTAGGCCAAGTTCAGAAGTTTGAATTTTATCTTATGCACAACAGAGAATCCTTAGCATAAAAAAAATTACTTTTAATGTATGTAAGTAGGAGCTTCAATGCCACTTTTATTTTTGCCACGCAGACCAGGTTATATAGTTTGTGTTTCCTTTGCTGTTAGTGGTAGACCATAAAGCACACTCACAACTTTCGTTTGTGGCTTCAGATGGGCCCATGGCTTCTAGTCCTCACTACACTATCTTGTTAACTTCCCCAAATCCAGACACTATCCATGCTTTATCAACAGCCACTTTCATCTCCAACAGAATATTTAATAACACATATACATGACTCCAAATTTCTGTCCTGGAAATTGCCAATGTTCTTGTTGGAAAGTAACAAGCATATTCTTAAGAGGTTCCAGTTTTCACTTCACATGAAATAATGAGAGATTATTCTGTTTATTAATCATCTTCAAATCCATTTTCATGGCCCTTCTAATAAATATTTGTGCTTGTAAAGATTAAGCGATTGGCAAGGTTACAAGCTGACGCCTTTTATTTATCTAAGGCTTGGTGGTGTCTCAGCAACTGCCAAAGTAACTTCACCTCCGCTGTGCTGAAACCGCGACGTCAGCGGCGACCCTGTGAGCTGTCGCCTCTGGGAGGACAGCGGCTTCTAACCTCGTTTTCTCTGAGTAGTCTGCAAGTACACTATGCCACACGGTTGTTGCTTACAGGATAAGCTATAATTCAGTACTTCTTTTTCTTTTTTTGAGATGGAGTCTCGCTCAGTCGCCCAGGCTGGAGTGCAGTGACTGGATCTCAGCTCACTGCAAGCTCCGCCTCCTGGGTTTACATCATTCTCCTGCCTCAGTCTCCCGAGTAGCTGGGACTACAGGCGCCTGCCACCTCGCCCTGCTAGTTTTTCGTATTTTTTAGTAGAGACGGGGTTTCACCGGGTTAGCCAGGATGGTCTCGATCTCCTGACCTCGTGATCCGCCCATCTCGGCCTCCCAAAGTGCTGGGATTACAGGCTTGAGCCACCGTGCCCGGCCAGGATAAGCTATAATTACCATTCATTTTATTTTTGCCTTCTAACTGGCTTTCCTAACTCTGGACCTTCAGAATTTTCTCTAAGAATGTAAGGAACTGCAGGGTACAACCAGCTGGCATAAGCCAGCCACTTTGTGAAGAAAAATTAGTTAACTAGAGTAGACTTCCATAACCCATTTAGTGAAAGGGGGAAAAAAGAAACCAAAGATACGTCTCTTTCAGCAAATGTATCAAAAGCAGTTATGTATCACGGATACAATTCAAAATCCTCCCTTTCTGGAGGAAGGGAGGTGGAACACAGCTGAACTCATCTTCTGTCTGCCTAAGCTTCTGGAAGGAGAGGTAGGACTGAACACTTTGTTCAGATGATCATGTGACTGCAGTGCAGGAAGGTGCAGTCTTGATTCTATTGACTAGGACAGTTAATGGAAAAGAGGGTGGTAAAATGTACATGGTTGGACGGTTTTAATTCTACATCCCTAATTGGTAACCAAAGCCAATAAGGCACGTAGTGACTGAAACACTTGAACGTGCCACTAGAACTCAACGAAGCTGACGAGTCTGTCATTGCTCTGCCCACAGCTCAAGACGCGTATGCAGCATGCCGTACGGCATCGTGTCCATTCCAAAAGCAAACTCCCCACACAGCAGGTGCTGTATTAGTCACTTTCACAACGCTGATTACAACGTTTGATCTGGTGCTGGAGCTGAAGGATTTCATCAGGCCGGACAGATCAATTGCTGGAGAGAAAGGCAAAATAAAAATAGCACCATGGTGCATGCCTGACTGGAAAACCATGGGTAATTTACCACCAAGTGCAAGGTTGTGAAGGCTGCCTTCTTGCTCATCTATCATGCTGTGTGCAAGCCCAGCTGTAACCCGATGCAGCAGATAAGCAAGACTCAGTGCCCTCCTCTCAGCCGCCAAGCCAGGAGGCACCACAACCTCCGTCGAACTCAACCCAGCAGTGACTTCAACGAAGCCGCAGCATGACTAGCTAGCACGGGCCCTGACATCAAGCTGACATGATCACTCTTTCAACCTGGTGCCAACCCTAACCTTGGGGTCACTGACTGAGCCTTCATAAGTCAGTGTAAGCTCATCGCAACCTTTTCTGAAATGGCCTCATATGTCACAATGTGAAGTTTCACTGAGGAAGGATTCAGTCATGCCTCACTGCTCCCTGGTGCATAATGAAATTCATGAGCATTGAAGGGCGACTCACTGAGAAACATGAGGAAGAACTCTTTCCATTTCTTAGTCTTCTGACTCAGAGGGCACAAAGAATTCGCACCTGCAAAGTTCCCTGCTCTCTGTAAGGTTGCAAATGCATGGAAAAGAAAGCTAGATACTTCCTTCAGAGACTGCCAGTCAACAAAGGAGTCCCTCCAAACTTACTCATCATGATGTTGAAGAGGCAGTTTCCAAACCACTTCTTAAGAAGGCACTGATGAGCAAAGAAGATGAAGGAGGACTATAAACAGCATACAATATATCTAGGGAAGAGATTAAAGTTGCAGCTACGTTGAAGCCCGGAACAGAACAAACCAGTGTCCTAACATGGCTCTTGGACGCAATCGAGAACAGAGAATGCATGCAAACTTGGGGGGAAAAAGGTATATGGTCAGCTTCCTGGCAAAATATTTGCCCAAAGTGAAAAGGCACACTCCGCAAAAATCCTTGTTGCTGGTCTGTCTGTGGGGAGGTACGCTGTGTGGCAGTGTGGGAGGTGTTCACCTTTCTGTGCAACTACAGACAGCTGAGAGCCATACTCCAACAAGCCACGCTAGCACTCCAAAGAGCTAGGGGACAAGCTCTTCCCCGGGCAGCTGAGGAACTAGCTGCCTGGGAGTCGCCAAACCCCTGCAGGAAGTATTTTGAACCCACAGAGCCAGAGACATTTCCCACTGCCCCCAGAAGCCAGCAGGGCCAGTCCGACCACGCCTCCCATGCCTGTTCACTGCCGTCATCCATCACCACTGGCCTCTCATCTCTTCCTACTGTACATCTTGATCTAATCCAATCCCTCACCCTTCCAAGCCATCCCTCGGTGCCCCCGGAACCAACAGTCCCCCAAGTCTTCTATGCTGAATGGTCCTGTGCTTGATGATACTGCCTCTTCCCATGCAGCCCTTGCAAGGCAAGGCTCTTGCATCTCATGGCTCTCCAACCTCAGGGTTAGTGCTTCTAGACACTGCTGCTTCCAGACCATTCTTTTCTTAGAAAACTCCTTCCCCTCTTTAACATTTATGCCATCCAGCTAAACTGTTCTCTCCTTAATCTTAAGTGACCCCTTCGTTGCTTCCTGCTAGCAGCTAAACTCTCAAGATTCTGGATTAATCTTGCTTCCCACCCCATCTCTTGCCATCATTCTTGATAACATCAATATCCATATGGATGTCCCGCCCAATCAATGCCTGGCCCACCACTTTTTTAGCTCACCTCCAAACTCATCTCAACTCCATGTTGGCCCCTACTCCCAAGTTTATAAACTGCCGTTGTCATTACCATCAACAGCTCAACCTCCAGTCCCTGACTCAGTCATCTCAGGCTCCAGCTCAGCTGCTTGATGATCGCCCACAACAGCAATGCCGGGGGATATGCTGGTAACTCAAGTCCTCAAATTCACGGACTCCTGTGCTTTTGCACGATCCATCAGCCTCCCTTGTCCAGCTTAGGTTTAACTTTATAATCACTCCTTTACAAACATTCTACAGCTTCCTTGCTTCTCTCTCCCTCCATTCTAACCCCTGGGCAGACCCAGCCATCTCTCTACTTGTGTCTGCAACAGAGCAACTGAAGCTTGCTGAATAAAATATGCAAACTGGACAGATGATTTTCCTGAAATTATTCTCAAATGGGAACTTAACGCCATCCACAAATTCTAGTCCCATTAAGCCTACTTTCCTACTTTATAAATGATTTGTTTCCTAACTTCTCTCTCCCTAAATCTTTCTCTTTCTGAACTTAGGGCTTCGGTTCTCAATTCACTGAGAAAATGTCACATCTGTGCCTGTGTTTGTCCCTTCTCTTTCAACGCCTCTCAAAGGCCAGACCATGGCCTATGGTTTGGGTACCGCCCTCCACTGCTTCCAGGCCCTCCCTCTTTCTGTTTTCACCTCTCTGACATGATCTCTTTTTTTCCTACAAGTCTTTTCCCTCAACACACAACGGGTTCTGCTATCTCAACTCTAAGACCCACAATGCCCTCCGGCTGCTGCTACTTTTTACAAACTTATAGCTCCGGCCACCTCCCACCAGCAGGCACCTGCCCACTGCTTCCATCGGAACTTGCAGCACCTGCCACCTCCCGCCAGGGCCTGCGCACTGCTTCCCAGGCTGCTCCTGCCGAAGTGCCTGCTGAGTGCTCTGCTACTACCTCCAGTGGGCAGTTTCCCACGTCATCTGCTTCTGGTTCTCAGCGGTATTTGATAAAGTTAAGAACTCCTTCCTTTTAAGACCCTCTCACTACTCCTGGACTTCAGGACCTGACACTGTGCCTCTTACACCTCCTCCAGGAGGAGCTGCTGCCTCCAGTCTGTGTCCTGGGGCTTCTCTCCTCCTCTCTGTGCTCTGTTCCTAGGCTGCTCACATAGTCTCACAGTTCTGAAGACCATTTATAAACTCTATGCTGACGACTCCCAAATTTAAACCGTTAATTTAACCCCCAAACCAGAAGTAGCTCATACATACATTGCCTATTGAACCTTTCCACAGAATGTCACATTTCATATGAGCAAAAAGGAACTCTTGATTTTTTTCCTCTCTGAACTTGTTTCTCTCTGGTTTTCCCCATTCAGTACCTCCACTCTGTTGCTCAAGACAGAAAGAAGTAATCTTGTTCTCTCTCTTTCCTGAACCAGTCCATCACCAAATTGAATTCATCCACTTGGCTCTATCCTCATGGCAACCACTCTGGTGCAAACCCCCATCACTGAGTTCCTTCTCATCTACCCTTGTTCATTCTGCCCTCTTCCACAGGGAAGCTGGAACCGTCTTTCAAAAAGATACATCAGATCGTGCCATTCTTCAACAGTCTTCCACTGCACTTGGAACAAAATCCAGTCTTTCTGTAGCCTCCAAAGGTTGGCACACTCCAGCCCCGCCTGCGTCTCTACCCTCCATCTCATGCTACTCTCTGCTTGGTTTATTCTGCACTAAGGTCACCAGTCTTCTCTCAGCTCCTTGACCACACCAAACCTCTTCCCTCCTTGGAGATGCTCCTACTCTGGTTCTTTGCATGGTTATCCCTCAGCTCTTAACACAAACGCTACCTGTGTAGACAGTCTTCCCTGACTTCCCAAAAGAAAGGTGGTTCCACGTCCCCTCCCCATTCTATTATTCTCTTTCTCTTTTTTCTTATAACACACCATTTTATAATTATTTGTAGGTTTACTTTTTAAAACTTTATGGTTTGACGCCAACCTCATTCCTCTGTACTGGAGGCTCTACATCTGTCCTTTTTTCACACTGTATATTCAAGACTCAGCACAATGCCTGGGCATATATTAGGTGCTCAAAATATATTAATTGACTGAATGAATAAAATGTACTTAAGTATTTCATTTCTTTGTATAACATGATTTCCCTTTTTATGGTAATCAATTCAGGGATTAGCCTTCTAACAACATCTAAAACATTTGCAATTTATTTTTGAAATTCAGATTTTTCTGAAATATTCAGATGTCAGTTATGGTTATAATCCAAATATTTGTATATTTTACTACCGAGCTACATTTCTTTTCAGAATTATTCTTCAAGTCTAGTGTTGTCAGAGACAATGTACCTGCGGATTCCTTTTGGTGTTTCTCCAATTATGAAGGTGGTCTGGTTTGTACGGTAGACTTTTTTCTTCTTTTGGCTCACAGGGTGTGAAATGTAAAGAGGAAGTGAAATGCTGCCTTCACTCGGTTGCTGGCCTTTCTTTGTGTGTGGCAATGTATTTGCATTCACCTTTTCTTTATATGTCTGAAAAAAAGGAAACAAAAGCTATGTCTGAAAACATAGTCACAGTTGGTCAAATAACGAGAATGTCACACTCTTTATAATGAAGTAAATCACATTATCCAACTGACATCAATATCAGAAGATGTTAACCTAGGTCTTTAAGAAAATGACACAGGAAAAAATTATTTTATACCTTTAAGATATAAAAGTATTGGCAATAACATGTTATTTCCATTGTCAAGACTTGGGCATACTGATACATATGTTGATATCTACTATACCAAAGGATAAAAATTAATGATTATATACACTATGGCATAAACATGGGATATCTAAAATTTTCTAATTTAATAATTGCAAAATTATTAAGCAGTCTTTCAGCTGTCTAATTTCATATAATGAATAAATGTAAAAAATAGCAATCTTTATGTAATAAATAAATAAGAAACCATAAATCTTACATTTATTTCAACCTCTGCTGGGTTGCAAGAATATTTAGTGATTTTGAGATGCTAACTACAGTTGGCTGAATTATAGATGGAATCATAATCCTTTTACAGAGACCATGAATTGCCTGTCTAACAAATTTTACTGACAGTGAGTCAAGAAAAATAAACTTTATATATAGTCCCAGTTTTCCTGACAGGATGATACAGTATGAATAGGTAGAGAGTCCTCATCCTATTCCAAAAAGAGAAATACTAAATACAATTTAACAGTAACAACAACAAAATTACACTGGAGCTCAAAAGTAAGAAAGCAGAATGTCTAGGTGCCCCGAACAAGGAAGTCCCACAGTGGTGAGCGGGAGCTGAAGCTCAGCAGCCCTAGTAGGGTCGGTCCTTAAGTTATAGTCTACAGCACTCATGTGGAGAGCGGAGATGGAAACGGTTTAACTCCCTGCACTAAACAACAAAGAAACACAAAACAGGAATGAGGAGTCAAATTTGCAAATTAAAGCCAGGAAAGCCAAACCCAGGACACAGGCTAGAAGCAGAGGCCACTTCTTACTCTGGATAGAAAGAATCACTGGCGACGAACAGGAACGCCCAGCCAGTGCCACGGGTGGAATGTGATTGTACCACCTGGTGGTATGGGAACTCTAAGCTGAAAATGAACATAAACAATTTGTCCAGAACTAGTGAAAACCACAGATCTCAATCAGGGGTGAATAAAAAATATACCATGGGAAGACTGCCATAAGCCAGAGAATGCTTTTGATTCCAATGAAAACAGGAGGAGTTCAGACAAAAATTATCAAGAACATATAAAACCTACCATCATGAAGTTGAGCATAGGTAACAAGTATAAGAAGTGAAATCTGAGGAATTACCTATAATAAAGCAATCTGAAAAGATATTCATTTATGAATAAACAAACACATGACAGAGTCTCACTCTGTCACCCAGGCTGGAGTGCAGTGCCATGATCACAGCTCACTGCAGTTGATAAATTGGAAGGATAAAATTACTCAGAATAAAGTGCAGAGACTAAAAAAAATAGGGAAGTTAAGAGACAGAAGACATACCAAAGTTTCTAAAATGCCAGGAGAGAATGGAGAAAATGGAAGAGATAATGCCAGAGACCTGTAAAAGAAAGGAATCCTCAAACTGAAAAAGGAGAAAGAATCCCTAGTAGGAAAAATGAAAATAAATCTGTATTTTGTTATATCACAGATAAAGGGCATATCTTAAAAACTACCAGAGAAAGAGGATAAGACATCCTACAAAGAAATGACAAATTAGGCCAGGCACGGCGGCTCACACTTGTAATCCCAGTACTTTGGGAGGCTGAGGCGGACAGATTGGTTTAAGCCCAGGATTTCAAGGCCAGCCTGGGCAATGTGGCAAAACCTTTTCTCTACAAAAAAATACAAAAACGAGCTTGCTGTGGTGGCACGCCCCTGTAGTCCCAGCGATTCTAGAGACTGAGGTTGCCGGATGGCTTGAGCCCAGGAGGCAGAAGTTGCAGTGAGCCAAGATCGTGCCACTGCATTCCAGCCTGGGTGACAGAGCCAGACCATGTCTCAGGAAAACAACCAACCAACCAACAAACAAAAGCCAAACTAACATCAGGCTTCTCATTAACATCACAATCCTATCCACCAAAAGAAAATGGGGTATCTTCAACACGCAGAGAAAAAAAAAAAAACCTGTCAACCTAGAATTCTATACCCAGTTAAATTATCATGTAAGAACTTTTCAGACATACAAAGACTACTAGAATTCACTAGATTCTTGCTTTTTTTTTTGAGACAGGGTCTTGTTCTTTTGTGCAGGCTGGAGTGCAGTGGTGCAACCATAGCTCACTGCAGTCTCAAACTCCTGGGCTCAAGTGATCCTCCCACCTCAGCCTCCCAAGTAGTGGGGACTGCAGGCATGAGTCCACAGGCAGAGCTAATTTTTGTATCATTTTATAGACACAGGGTCTTGCTATGTTGCCCAGATTGGCATGGGTAACATAGCAAGACCCTGGGCTCAAAAGCAATCCTTCTGCCTCAACTTCCCAAAAGTGTTGGGATTATAGAGTGAGCCACTGTGCCTGGTCTTTTTTTTTTCTTTTTAATAGAAGTTCAATGGGATTTAAGCAGTGATACATTCAATGAATGTGGGCAAGGAATGGCTTTTAATTCCACAAATATTTACTAAGCACTTATTACATTCCTGCCAACATGCTATGCATTTGAGATGCAAAGATATTTATATATACAAAGATTATTCCCCCTACCCTTAAGGGATTTAAAAGTAACAAGCCATTTTTAAAAATACGATATGTTTATCTTTTTTCTTTTTTGTATAAGACATTTTCCTCTATAACTTATATTCCGGTTCATTTTATTGAAACTGACAAAAACAAGTGTATGTTCTTTAGTAACGAATCATTTCTAAGGAAAACTGACATCTTCAAAAGCTACTTGGTTCAGATGGACAAACACAAAATGCCAGGAGGTCAGGTTGAACCAGGGCTTTATATCAGTAATGTTAAAAGAACTTTCTTTAAAAATATATTTTAAAAAATTGTAACTGGGCCAGGTGCAGTGGCTCATGCCTGTAATCCTAGCACTTTGGGAGGCCAAGACGGGCAGATCATGAGGTCAGGAGATCGAGACCATCCTGGCCAACATGGTGAAACCCCATCTCTACCAAAAATACAAAAATTGGCTGGGAGTGGTGGTGAGTACCTGTAATCCCAGCTACTCGGGAGGCTGAGGCAGGAGAATAACTTGAGCCAGGGAGTCGGAGGTTGCAGTCAGCCAAGATCACGTCGCTGCACTCCAGCCTGGCAACAGAGTGAGACGCCGTCTCAAAAAAAAAAAAAAAAAAAAAAAAATTGTATCTTAAAACATTAATGGAAAGAAAAACATTGATTGTTAAAGTTTGAAAGATATTTGATGCATTTATTTTCCATCACAAAACAAAATGAACACTAAAAGTTCCTAATACAAAGACTCATCATCCTAGCATACCCCCAAGAAATAATCATTCATTACTATGAAATGAGATGATATTGCTTACATGAAGGTAAGGGGAGTAAGCAGAAAGAGAAGGAACTGGGCCAACCAAGAAAATTCCATTCTCATATTTTGCAATTTCTGAAGCCATAGAGAAATCATGCCAAGGGAATGGCAATTGTCAATTATTTACTTGTTTACTCTGGGTCTTTATGACCCTGGTAGCATTGCAAAGCTCACATGTATACAGATACAGTTTTCTTAAATCAGTTTCATAACCTCTTTAGGAAAATTCAGCTTTTGCAACCACAGTTATTAGACATGTGGATCTTTAATTTTTGCCAAACATTCCACATTTTAAAATCTGATTCTTTTAGGCAATAATAAAAGGAAATTTTTTTTTTTTTTGGAGACAGAGTCTCACTCTGTCTCCTGATCTCAGCTCACTGTAAGCTCTGCCTCCTGGGTTCACGCCATTCTCCTGCCTCAGCCTCCTGAGTAGCTGGGACTACAGGCGCCTGCCATGACGCCCAGCTAATTTTTTTGTATTTTTAGTAGAGACCGGGTTTCACCAAGTTAGCCAGGATGGTCTCGATCTCCTGACCTTGTGATCAGCCTGCCTCAGCCTCCCAAAGTGCTGGGATTACAGGTGTGAGCCACCGCGCCTGGCCAGGAAAATCATTCTTATTTAACATGGGCTCAACAGCTATCTTTTATTTTTAAAAATCTATCTAGTTTCATATTTCCATTTTAGCAGGCAACTTTTAACATTTTACTGAAACAAGGCTGTGAAACAAAATAGTTACATTAAAAATAGATTTTAGGAATCAATGTGCCATTTAGGCTTATTCTGAATGAAAGCTCTAAAGGTTACATGTATAAACTATGTACGGGTTGGGGGCAGTGTACTGGATTAGTTTCCTATTGCTGCCATAACAGTATCACAAAATTAGTGGCTTAAAACAATATAAATTCATTATCTTATACTTCTGTAGGTCAGAAGCTTGACATGGGTCTCACTAAGCTAAAGTCAAGATGTTGGCAGGGCTGCATCCCTTTTTGAAGGCTCTGGGATAATGAATTTCTTTGCTTTTCCAGCTCCTGGTGGCTGCCCACAATCCTTGTCTTGTGGTCCCCTTCAAAAGCTAGCAACTCTTCTTCTCTGTTCTTCAGAGTCACGTCACCCTCTCACCACAGCCAGGAAAGGTGCTCTGCTTTTAATAACTAACGTGATTAGATTGGGCCCATCCAGATAATCCAGGATCAAAATGGGTTAATTAACATCCTTAACTGCATACATCCAATTGACCCATCTCAAGGTCAGCTGATTCAACCTAAATTGCATCTACAACCTTAATTCCTTTTCCTGTTTGCTGGGTAATGTAATGTATTCATAGGTTCCAGAAATGAGTCAACAGACATCTTTGAGGGGGGCATTAATTGTTTTTCACTGGCAGGGAGAGTGGGGGTCTTAACCTGGGTCCACTGACCCTCCAAATGTTCAGCAGATGGGTTTCAGCGACTTCAGAAAGCGTTATCTATGAATCCCCTGAAGCTGTATTTACACATTTGAGCATGAACACATTTTTTCAAAAAAAAAAGAGCCCATGGCTTTAATCATGTTCTTAAAGGTGTATGTGGCCAGAAAGAGTTGAAAAACCGCTGTTTTAAGCAGCAGTGCCATTGGTATAGTTTTCAATTATTCTTGTTTTTTGAAAAAACATATCTACTTTATAAACATTTTGGTGCTCGTTAGAAAAGTTTGTTTCATTAAAATAGTAGTCAATCTTTCACAATAAATGGTACAAGATAAATAATGCTGCAGTGCAGTTGCTATTGTAGTGACAATTATAACTTACTATAGTAGATTTGGTTCTGGACCACCACCACACATTTTTTGGTTTCTCACTACATATAAAAATTATGCTTACACTATATTGTAGTCTATTAGGTGTGCATACATTATGCCTTTGCTTTACCAACTAAGTTTATGTAACATTCTAAATTCTTTGTCGCTATTTCAACAATGCTCACAGCATCTTCACTAGGATAGAGTCCATCTGAAGAAACCACTTTCTTTGCTCACCCGTAAGAAGCAATTCCTTACCTATTAAAGTTTTATCACGAGATTGCAGCAGTTCAGTTCCATCTTCAGGCTACCATTTCTAATTCTAGTTCTCTTGCTGTTTCCACCACATCTGCAGTTAGTTCCCCTACTAAAGTCTTGAATCTCTCAAAGTCATCCATGAGGGGTGGAATCAACTTCTTCCAAACTTCCGTTAATGTAGATATCCTGGCACGCTCCCATGAATCAAAGATGTTTTAAATGACATCTAAAATGGTGACTCCTTTCCAGAAGCTTAACAACTGACTTTGCCCAGGTCCACCAGAGAAATCATTATTGATGCCAGTTATAGTCTTATGAAACTTATTTTCTTTCTTTTCGAATTTAATTTTTAGAGATGGGGTCTCACCAAGTGGACCAGGCTGGTCTTGAACTCCTGGTTTCAAGTGATTCTCCCAGGTCAGCCTCCTGAGTAGCTAGAACAACAGGCATGTTCCACTGTGCCCGGCTCTGTATTTCTTAAATAAGAAAGCCAAAATTACTCCTTGATCCATGGGTGTTAGCAGGCATGAAAACAACATTCATTTCCTTGTACATCTCCATCTATCTCTTGGGTGACTAGATGCACTGTCAATGAGCAGCAATATTTTGAAAGGAATCTTCTTTTCTGAGTAGCAGGTCTCAATAGTGGGCATAAAATATTCAGTAAGCCATGCTGTAAATAGGCGGGCTGTCATCCAGGCTTTGTTGGTCCATTTATAGAGCACAGGTGGAATAGATTTGACATAATCCTTATGGATCCTAGGATTTTCCAAATGGTAAATTATCACTGGCTTCTACTTAAAGTCCCCAGCTGCATTAGTCCCTAACAAGAGAGTCAGCCTGTCCTTTGAAGCCAGGCACTGACTACTCCTCTCTAGCTATGAAAATCCTAGATGACATCTTCCAACAGAAGGCTGTTTTGTCTGCATTGAAAATCTATTGTTTAGTGTAGCCACCTTCATCAGCGATCCTAGCTAGGTCTTCTGGATAACTCGCTGCAGCTTCTACATCAGCACTTGCTGCTTCACCTCTGCAATTTCACGCTATGGAGACAGCTTCTTAGCTTAAATGTCATGAACTAACTTCTCTTAGCTTCAAATGTTTTCTTCTACAGCTTTCTCACCTTTCTCAGCTTTCACAGAATTGAAGTGCGTTAGAGCCTTGCTCTGGATTAAGCTGTGGCTTAAGGGAATATTATGGCTGGTTTGAGCTTTGACCCAGACCACTACAGCTTTCTCCACGTCAGGCATAGGCTGTTTCACTTTCTTATCGTTTGTGTTCACTGAAATGGCACTTTTAATCTCCTTCCAGAACTTTCCTTTGCATTCACAACTTGGCTGTTAGGCACAGGTGCCCAGTTTTCAGCCTATTTTGGCTTTTGAGATGCCTTTCTAATGAAGCTTCATCATTTCTAGATTTTGATGTAAGAAATGTAAGACTCTTCCTTTAAAGTTGAACAATTAAAGGCCATTGTAGGATTACTAACTGGCCTAACTTCAATACTGCTGCATTTCAGGGAAGGGGAGGTCTAAGGAGAAGGAGACAGGGAAAATGGCCGGCTGGTGGAGCAGTCGGAACACACACTGATTAAGTTTGGCATCCTGAATGGGTGCAGTTGGTGCCCAAGACAATTACAACAGGAACATCGAAGATCACGCATGTCATCTGTGGATCACCTTAACAGATATAATAAGAAGGAAAAACTTCAAAATATTGTGAGAATTACCAAAGTGTGACTCAGAGACACACAGTGAACACATGCTGTTGGAAAAATGATGCCAACAGCCTTGTGCGAAGCAGGGTTGTCACAAAACTTTGTAAAAAAGGCATTATCTACAAAGTGCAATCAAACGAACTACACTAAAACAAGGAATGCCTACATATTAGGATTATAATAAACAAGAAGGCACTTTTGTAGGGAAAAGTTTCTTCTTCAGAGTAGCCAGAATGAGTCCACCCTGGATCTACTAACTATCCATCATCCTCTATAACTGACCTCTTACGATCACTGGCTTCTTACGGTCAAGTTTTAGGGTTATACTGGTTAACAGCAGAAAAGTTCTTCATCTTCACTTAGACCGACAGTGTGAAACATTCAAATGAACTTTGATAATACTCTTTTTCTTCTGAACCAAAAGTGTATTCTGTATATTTCAAGGCATTAGATGTAAACTAAGTTGCGTTATTTTCATTGAAATGATATTTATTGAAAGGCTCAACTAAAAAAGTTAAGACTTTTGATATGAAAGGGTAAGTAAAACAAAATCAACTCTTAACAACTTTGGAGACAGCTATCTGTGATGTCAGTATACTTAAAAACATAAGGAAGATTCCTCCCTACCTCACGGGCACATGATTAAATTAGCAGCTTTCTATTTACTCAGCTACATATGGAATAAATCTTTATATAGTAGAAGACTGTACTAGACTTGTTCAGAGAATGTTTAAGAAAAAAGAAACCCTCTATTAATATTCTCCAAGTAAAAAGTAATTTTGGAGGTTATTAAAGAACAGTAGAGGGCACCTAGGTAGGAATGGCAAAGGAGTGAAAAAAGTTGATAGGGAGGAATCGTTCCCATACCCATACACTGTAACAAACGAGGCAAAAAAGTTACAATCCAGGAGAGTGAGTTTCAAATGCAATCAAGAACAGCCTCTAGTTCCCATTTCCGCAGGAGAAGTATTCAGAATCTCTGCATCTTTCTAAATCTCTGGGTGAATTCCTGGAGACAGTCAGCTATTGCTGATAATCTGCAGAGAGAATCTGATTCATTCTCCCTTGCTCATCTGTATACTCCAAGTTGCAGAGAAAGCTTGGGAGGATGGTGCACAGGGAAGCAGAACAGCCGGACCGCTGTCCACAGGAGGCTACGTGGAAGCAGTGAAATCTTTTATTAAGCAAGTGTGGAACGGATCTATCTACTGGGCTGGCTTCTCCAGAATATACCTCATGGAGCAAACAGAACACAGAGCAGTGCATGCCGAACAGCTACACCAACTCTTCCATAACCAGATGATTAGGCTTGATGAGTCAGTAAGAAAACTGGAAACAAGGAGGAGATCTTCAAAGCCACTGGAAGGTTCTGATGGCTCTGACCCACTGAGAAGCTAGAGTGGAAGGCTTAATTAAAAATTCTGATTCTAAGGTCAAAAAGGATCTGCCCATCCCAGGACAGCTCTTTGTACACCTTGTTCCTGAGCTTCACAAGACACTCTAAGGTCATCACACAAGGGCACACTGTGTGGCCACAAGCCCTCATATCCACCTGATCATGCCAACTCTGCCACAAAGCAGACAAAACAACAAACAATTTCAGGATTTTTGCTTAAGTATGAAAATACTCAGAATCACTCAAGGTTTGTGCCTGGAGATAGAAAACATTATTGTAAACGCAGTTTTCCAATACTCAAAAAGAACCTAAGGCAACTATGAGCTATCCCTGAATTGTCTTAACCATCTGCATGCAGAAAAGCCATTTGGTCAGAGGACCCACCACAAAAGAAGAGTCAAATGTTCTGCCTATGTTTAAAAATGATGTTCAAATCTCAAAAAAAACAACAGCATTTGGATTCAAATCCAAAACCTTTTCTGGGGAGAGAGGGAGATTAAAGTTTTTAGCCATGGGTCTGCTCTCTTCCTGGAAGGAGTAATACTTATTATATAATCCAGCTAAACTCTTTTTCAATAGTGCTTTGCTTTCTGAGTCAGCCACAAAGGGACAACTTTATACTGGCTGTCCTGAGCTGTTATTTTTATTTTTAATTTTTATTTTTTTTTTAAAGAATAATGGAAGTATCTCTTCAAATAAACACTTATCAAATTAAATCTCATAGAAGCTGCTTGTGGAAATTCAGCATCACTCACAGGGGTGACTCACCGTCCAGGAAACCCATCTATCTAAAATGATGTGAAGTGGCGGCACTGAGGGGAGCAGGCGAATGCCATGTGCTACAGACAGACACACAGGAACTCCGTCTCCCTGGGGGCTGCTGATCTGATGGCTCTGCGGGAAAGGGCCAAGCGAGACCACAGCAATTACCTTCACCAAAGCTTGCAGATGTGCAGTGGAAAATTTCGCTAATACCCTCAGTCCTCCATGGGAGTGCAGCCCAGGAGTAAATTCCCATTAATTCCTCCTACAGACAAAGGCTAGAGAGGGATCGAAGCCTTTCCAGAGAGCCGTCTGAGCACTGGGCTCAGCACCATGACCCTGGCATCCAGGCCCTACTTTGCCACTTACACTTTCCATTTGGGGAGATTCTGTACCTTTCTGAGGATCATCTTGCGGATAATGAAAGATTTGGAGAATGGGATCTAGGAGATGGGAGATTTGGATCTGGGAACTCCTACCAGTCTCTTTCGTATTTAAAATTCACAATTCTACTAGTCTTTGTAGGATCTCCACTAAGTACTAATGGATAGGTCCATCACATCTTATGGCCTTGACCTCAATTTCAAATCTCTCTAGGTACTAAGTTTTATTTGTATTATCATATTTTACATAAAGACTACCTGAAGACCTCATATGAAACAATACCTGTTATATTTCGTATCGCTGGCAACAAAGATCACGGAAGAGTGGTGCTGGTGAAAAAAAGTTAACCAAAGAAAGCCTTTCCTGGCAGGCACTCACTGCTGCCTGTGTTTTCCAGTGGCTAGCTGAGGCTCCTCACGTCCCTCCGCCCTGGCCTCCAGCTGGGCCACTTAGGCTGATTTGATTAGAAAGCCACCAAATGGCTCTCCAGTGTCTGGGGAAGATGATTTCAAGCACGGACCACAAATGACACTGAGACATTACAACTAGTTGTGAGATTTGATGTAATTATTTATTATTAATAATAAAGTGCTAAAATATGTTAAAGATTCCGCTTTTTTAGTAAATTAGAGTTAATTCCCTATAATCACATCATCTTTACTCTCTTCTATTCTGATATGCTTTCTTTGGTTATGATTAGAGAAAGTAACATTTTTACACAGAGAAAGGCCAAATGGAAGCATATCCTGCAGAAGTGAATTTAATGATAAGGCAACTGTTTTCATATGGGTCTAAGACAGTAGTTCTGAAGCTTTTTCGTCTTAAAACTCCTTTATACTTTAAAATTGAGAATCTCAAAGAGTTTTTGTCTGTGTGGGTTATATCTACTGAAAATTTAAAGTCTTTATTAACTAAATAAAATAAAAGCCCATTACATGTTAACATAAGGAACTTTTTAAAACAAAAGTAACTGTACTTTCCAAAGCATAAAACCAAAAAGTTAGTGAGAAGCGTGGCTATGTTTTACATTTTTACAAACGTCTTTAATATTTAGCTTAATAAAAGACAGCTGAATTCTCCTGTTTCTACATTCAAACTGTTGTGACACGTTGTTTTGGATGAAGCTTATGAAGAAAATTGGTCTCATACAGATGTGTAGTTAGAAAAGGGAAAAATATTTTAACAGTCTTTTCAGATAATTATGGATTTTCTTTTTTGACATGATACCAAAACTCAAGGTTAATTTCATTAAAAATCTGAAACTTTTCAGTAAAATGTTTATATTGTTAAAATTCATTGGTGTATCTTGAACTTTGGTAAATCTTTTCCCCATGTGTGATTTTTAATATCATTCACTGGTCATTTAGAAAATACTGATTAATAGAGTTATGCAGATCTTCAAAACATGGACACATTTAATTGTACCACATTAGAAAATCACTTTTGTTATTATCAGAAAAATAAGTATTAGGAAGATGTCAATGCTATGGTGGTAGATAAAAGCTTTTCACTATTTTAACTTTCACTTGAAAGCTTGAATTTTATCACTGGCAACAAGTACTGTCCATTGTTTTCCTTGAGGTGACATGGTCAACAAGTTCATTTTTTTGAGGAAGTGCCAAATACCAAATCTGAATAACCCGTCTATCAGTCATTCTTTCAAATGGTGTTCCACAAAAAAGCAGCCAGTTCAATGTGCAACTCAATCATTCAAGTGCTTTATGCATACTTCCCATTTCATCATACAGAATACAAAAAAGATGGGCTTGTAAAGGGTTGAGATTTGCTAAAACTGATTTTGCTGCTTCCTCGAAGATACTCATAACAGAAAGTAGTTTTCTTTTCCTGCAAGAATGTGGTGGTCAAAAATCCATTAACTACTAGTGATACAGAAGGACTGGGCTCCCATCTAAACCCCACCCTTAAGCTCAGCCTGGATCTGTGGCCCTACGTGGAAACAGCTGACCCCGTTTTTCTACCCAAACGTTGCCTTTTTGGATAGCCCCTGCCCCTATCCTGGGCCCATAAAAGACTTAGCTGGCAGAGCAACACAAGCAGCTGAGCGGCAAGCAGAGAAGCAACTGGGCATCGGAGACTACGGACAGATGCAGCCAACTTCAGACGGTGCAGCTTGGAGAGGGGCCTGGTCGGAGACAGCCGGGCTTCAGGGGAAAGATCACCTTCCCATCCCCTTTCCAGCCTCCCTCTCTGCTGAGAGCCGCCCAGTGCTCAATAAAGTCTTCCGCATGCATCGCCTTTCAAACAGTTCATATGACCTGATTCTTCCTGGACACTGGTCAAGAACCCAAGTGCCAAGAGGGCAGGGGCTGCCACCCTGACCCTCCACTGAGCTGGGTGGCACTTGGCTGTCCCCGGATGGCAGAGCTTAAAGAGCACTGGTTGTAATATGCTTGGACGCTGCTGCAGGGCCTGCTCTCACCAGAGAAGAGCGACTGGTTGGTTGCAGCGTTTGTTCGCTCCTGTTCCCATACCTGCTTGCTCACTTGTACACTCCCTCCTACAAGGAGTGGCCAGCGGCGGCCTGAGTGAAATGAGCCACTCCAGTTCCCGTCTGCGAAGGGGGTCAAAGGAGCTATCTTGTCTCACTACTACAATTAAGGGCCACTGCCTGTTCATACTAATCTGTCAGCAGGCTCCCCAACATTGCTTTTGAATCATTAGTACAAATGTCAACAAGTGAAAAGGTGGACCCCCCTGAGTCTTGGGGCTATCTTAGGGTCCACGGACCACACTTTGACAACTGTCAGTCTCTAATAAACTGGAATGTCTTCATTCAACACATACTTGATACCTCCATGTTGGCAAGTTTGACCATGATAATCATGAGTAGGTCTGGGCTTCACCCAGCTTTATATCCACACACATGAAATGGTCCCCCACCTGTTCAGTGAAAATAGAATAGTCTTTGTCTAGAATAATCATTACATCAACCTGCTCCAGCCTGGCTCCTGGCCTTCTTCACTGTGGAATGGTTAGGTATTTGGCATATCTTGAAAATTAACCTGTCAGAGTATAAAGCCTAACATCTCAGTCTGTTCAGATCAGTTTAACATTTATTGATTATTGCCCTAAATGAAAGGCCCTTCATGACTTTTCTTAACCCCCTATGTACCTTACTGCTCTCTGTGGTCCAATGTAAGTCTGCCTGGTCAGTCCAGTCTTCTCACTAGCTGCCAAACACATCGTCACATTTCTGGCTCCAGATTTCCTCAGAACCTAGTTCCTTGCCCAACACTGTCCTACCTATGCTCGAAGGTACAGCTTCACAAGACTTCCCTTGCATACTCTTTTCTTGCATTATTGCTTTGATTTCTCATTTGGCAGCTTTATTATAAAATGGAATGTACCTTGATTTAAGATTTTATGTCATCTCATACAATATACCAAACCAAATAATGCTGCACATAGGCCAAAGATCCTCATTTCACCCATCAGAGAAATATAATGAAATCTAGGAGATCTCTTTGAATAGGCAGGGCCCCCTGTACTGTTTGAAATTATTTTGATTGTTTAGGTCTTATCTATTTAACTAGATCACACTCCTGTAATCCAGAGAGCAACCATGTATTGTTATTGTACTAAGTCCTGAGTCATGCCCTACAGGCTCTCAATAAATGCTTGCTGGATGACTATAAACTTACACAAATACGACTGTGATATTGTGAAACAGACATTTGGTCTCTGTCCCGGTTTCCTGGCACACAGCTCCTAAAATCCTTGAAATACAGTGATGTGCTTTTCTATGCTAATGAGTTGGCTGGTGGCTGGCAGCCCCCTAGGGAGCTTCAGGATGGGGCTGGTCACCTGAAAGATCAAGGCAGGGTCAGAGGGTTGGGACTGTCAGCACCACCCCCAACCTCCAGAGAAGGAACAGGGGCTGACGGTTAAGCTGATCACCAGTGGCTTAACCATCATAACTATTGAATCAATCATACCTATGTAATGAAGCCTCCATAAAAACCCCAAAGTACTGGATTCTGAGAACATCTGGATAGCTGAGAAGGTGGACATTCTCAGAGGGCGGAGAACTCAGGATTGAGTGTGGAAGCTCTGCACCTCTTCCCATACCTCACCCTACGCAGCTCTTCATGTCTATCCTAATAAAATGGTAACCCTAAGTATTTCCTTGAGTTCTGTGAGCTGCTCCGGCAAATTAAACAAGCCCCGGGAGGGGACTGTGGGAACCCTGATTTATAGCTGCTTGGTTAGAAGCACAGGTAAAACAAACTGGGTCTTTTGAGTGACAAGCTGCGGGCAGTCTTGTGGGACTGAGTGTTCAACCTGTTGGATCTGATACTGTATCCAGGCAGATAGTACTGGAACGGATTCGGAGGATACCCAGCTGGCATCTGCTACAGAATTGACTGCTCGCTGGTGTAAGGGAAAATCCCCCACACAGCTGGTCACAGAAATCTTCTGTGTTGATTGTTGTGAGGTGAGAACAGAGGAGTAACAGGGTTATTTTCCCCCCACTCAACAACAAAGAAAACTTAATTTCTGGAGGACATTTGCCAAACAAGTTTTCTAAACAAGATAAAAAGTCCTTGCTGTTAAGGCATTCAATTATTTCACCTGCAACAAAATAGCCTTACATAGCAAATGAAATAGTGGGATATGGTTTTCCGATCCACTTTGAAGCAGGTAATGCTAGTCATGAGACTTGTTTATAGATTAACTGAAATTTGACTGATACTAAGTAATGTGGCTAACAAGATGGCTGACATCTC